ATTTACGTATTTTATTCCAAAGTTTTGAATTAAATATTCAATAAATAGGAATATTATTGTCTTATTGGATTCTAATTGGTAAACAAAATTATTCAAAATTTAGGTAAAATTTATCCAATATTATTGTTGTGATCGCGCGATTCCGAAATATTGAATAAAATATACAATCTCAAATTTTACAGTGCAGCCCTAATCAAGGCCTAATATAATGTCTAGTTCAAGTACTATGAAAGTACTTTGAAAGTAATGAAATATTAAATGTTTAATATCAGTATGTCTAGTTTAAACCGGATATAGATACACAAAGTATCAATTCCTGTTTAAACTAGAAATACTTTGGAGGTGTAATTGTAAATAAATATTTATTATAAGCAGGCTTTCCTAACTAAAACCCATGGAGAACACAAGATTTTCTAGTGAATTTCAAAGAAGCGACCAGTGAATAAATATCCCATGATGATTCACGTCTTGACAAGATGAATGTTGACGATTTGATCACAGGTTTTTACACTTTATTTCACAAGATGTAGATGCACGGGATTTTTACATGAGAAAATTGTTTTTCTCCCATCTACTTAAATCGCATTTTATTTAATCCCGGGAAAGGGGGAGGGATTAATAGTTGATTTCTGATATATTCTGAAATATATTATAGAAAATACTGAGTAAAAGTATTTAATTATTACAACATGATTAGAAACTAAACATTTTAGTTTCTATCTTTTACATGAAACATCTTGAGTAAACTTTATATCATCAATATTCACATATTTTAAGTTTACATAATGTTCAACTATGTCAATTTGTTCATAATAACATGAAAGTCCCTTCCTTGTTATATCTATAAGATAGATATTCCAAAAAGGGGTTGTTGAGAAATACAATACAAAATTCAATGTTAAACTTTTCTAAACTTTGCTTGTTATAATCTGAAAAATGTATGTCATATATTTTACAGGTGATATTTACAAGAATAAAATCTAGATATTCTGGCATTACATTGAAAAAACACTATCAATCTTTAATTTTAAAAAAACTAAAAACGATCGTTTTTGAAAATGAATCTGAATCCAAATCACCTGATTATTTTCCGACCAAAAAATGCATTTTTCTCCTAAAAAGGTTGTGAATGATCGTTAATGAAAGACTATTTTTAAAAAGAGTAGTTGCAACTTGAAGTATTAATAATATGTGAACTTTGTCTGAAACTATAATAAATTATGTCCTTTATAAATATAAATCATAGCTTAGTTTTGAATAATAAATGAAAATGGATGAATATCCTTCATTAGTGCTTGAACATGACTGGGATGTGGTTCATTCTTTGCTTACTTCTTCCAGTTAAAGTTTACACTTTCAAGTAGGGTTTCCACCAACATATTAGCCAAAGAGATTAGATAAATATAGAGTGGAATTTAGTAGAAATATGTGTTACCCCTATAAAGGCTGGGGGGCCAGAATCTTTTTATAGCCTGCAAAAGGCCTTAGAGAATAGATATAGGGTTGAAATGCACATTCATAGCCCAATTTTTCAATGCCAGCTCATTGAAAAATAATAGATCGATAGCTTTTATAGTTTGGGCACTGGGGTTGAAAAAATGCAAAAAAAGGAAAACAAATATTTTGTTTTTTGTTTTAAACAAATATGAAAGTGTGACACATGTGTCTATATCCATTTTTCAAGGGCTTTTAAAAAATATAATTTTTAGATCTGTAGGTTTAGTCACAAAAAAGTAAGGGTTGGGCCAAAGTGACAGTTGTAATAAACCTATTTTTGCTTCAGTGTAACAGTGATTTAACACCACCTTCTTTAATACTTAAGTGGTCCATTGTGGTAATTTTGAGTACAATTTTTTTTCTGAGGTGAAATAAATTAAGATTTTACCATGTTTTTAGCTTAACAGCTTTAAAGAGATTTTACATGAATCGTAAAGAGAAATTTCTTCCAATAAGTAACAGCTAGGATTTTATTCTCAACTATTTTGAGACCTTCAGGTCTATTAAACAATTTCCAACCCTTACTTTTTGTGGTAACTTTTTTAATCTTTTCCTTGGTGTAATCATGTTCTATTTAGGAGCACTATGTTTATGTCAACTATGAATATGACATACAGCACATTCACCCAGGTAAATGTAAAGGCCACAGGTTTTCCTACATCATAAATAGTTGGATAGTTCAGAGCTGGGTCTGGGCGTCTTCCTACTTTTTAAAAATCATTTAGTCTTTTCCGCTTGTGCCTGTGAAAAAACTTTTGTTTCCGAGGAACAACAACCAGTCCTAAGTTCTGGGCGTGTTTCTACTTTTTTTAAATCATGCATTCTGTTCTGTTCGCTCTTGTCAGAGAACGATCGTTCCCCAATGCCTAGCCTTATTCATTCAACTGTTATTTATGCTGCCAAATGTTATTTTTACAATTTTTGATCAAAAAATAAAACTAAACTTCTACCCCATGCCTATTTTGTGCATGCAGCTTATTTTTGTTGTAAATTTTATACTTAAAAAAAATATTTTTATAATTTGTTCATATTTTTTCATATCCTCAATTAAGTTATACTTAAAATTTTCTAAAAATGTTGTTGAGGGTGGAAATATAAATCTTTGAAATCTTGCTAACTTGCAATTGTATATTAAATTAAATTACATTTCATTAAAAATAAAATAAAACTAGGTGTCGAACCCGAACCCTATGAGATCCCTCTGAACACTAAACTATTTGTGATGCTTATTGAGGTCACAAATACCTCATTTTAATATTCCTTTTATTAAAACAAAACAAAAAAACTATTTTTTTTAGTATAGAACATGGACTCGAACAGCAAAAGATGAGAAAGATTGTGGAATTAAATGTCTTCATTTTGGAAACTGTAATTCATTCTGGTTCCAACAAACTTCCTTCCGTCCAGGTTTAATTTCAAAATTCACAAATTTTTGTGACTTTTAATGAAAAGTAATTTAAAGGATTTTTTGCTAAAAAATATTTTTTTAAAATTTATAGTGTAGGGTACAGGCCAGAAAAAAAGTCCGGTCTGTAAAAAAATCTAAAATAGCCCATAAATTTTTTGTGACTATAGAGCTACAGATCTTAAAACCATATTTTTGAAAGCCCTTGAAAAATGCATGTAGAAACATGTGTCACACTTTAATATTTTTTTTAAACAAACATTTTTTTTTTTCATTTTTTGACCCTTTTTTAGGCATATTTTTCCACCCTCCCTAGCACCCAAACTAATAAAGTTATCAGTCTAATTTTTTTTTTTGAGCTAACCATGAAAAATTGGGCTATGAACATGTATTTCAACCCTATACCTACTCTGTAAAGCCTTTTTTCTAGGGAGTGGGTGCCAAACGCCCCCCCAGGCCATCCATAGATTCAGACCCTTTATAGGGTTAACTTAAAAAAGATAATTTTTTGTTAATGAGGATAATAATCGATTACAATTTTTTGTTTTTTAGGCTAACAACATTTTTTTCCAAGTTTGCATATTAAGAAAATGTCTTGCGATCTAAGAATTAACAGTTAAATAAGGAAAATTCAAAGCTAGAAATAAATAAATCTATCATAATATGGATTTAATAATGACAATAATATTGATAACAAAAATAAGATAATTATGCTATCTGACAATAATGATGAAACATAATTTAGGAACTGTTTTTGGAACATGTGAGGGGGCGATGCTATCAACTCTTGTGGATACAAGTATAATATTCTAATTTTAATTAACAACAAAATTTTGTAAACTCTCACATAGTACTTTCAGTAAGCCCACTTAAAAATGCATGTAACCTGTCTGAAAATGATAATTCAATTTGGGCATTCAATCATCAAAGTAAAATTTAAACCTTCCCAGCAAAGAGTTCAACATGAAACTTTACATAAAATGTCATAATAAATATTCTGATTAGATAATGGTATAAGAATATTTATTGATGCTGGGAGTTATGATGAGTGGGATATTCTATGCAGGTAATTATTCATTCAATGTTAGGTACTTTCCCAAAGGCATTTTCCCAAGCGGCAACTTCCTAAGGGTATTTTCTATGCAGGTAATTAAACTCAGCTGATTAATTTTGTCCACAGGGGTTTTCTAAAAATAGAAAGTAGACATTTATTTTCTTTTTTTTTATTTTAGTCATAAAAACAGACAGAAAACAGATATTACTAGATAATTAACTAAATACAAGCATAAGTAACCTGCGCTGCCATGCCAGTAGCATTTTTTAAAAAAAATAGAAAAAAATATTAGGAGTTTTTTTTATCCTATCTTACCCCTCGGATACACCTGGGTTCCCTTAACAAATGTCAGCCAATTTGGTCCAACAATTTGGCCGGCTATAGGGAACATTTATAGGAAAGTCTTGATGTATTATATAGATATATGTATATCTAAATAATAACAAGTCATTCTTATATATATATATATGTTGCCTATAGCAAGCCAAACGACTGGATCAATTGGGCTGAAATTTTTTGTGGACACTCTAAGGGTGGTATAGGCTAAAAAATTCGATTTAAAAAAAAAAAATTTAAAAATCGTGCCCTCCAGCTAAGAGATTATAAAAAGATAATACACTATATTAGTAAGGTGTAGTTAATATTTGCAAAATGAAAAAAAAATGTTAAACAATTTTTTTCAGTGGCAGTGAGGGTTGCTGTCGCAGGTAAAAAAAAATCAACAAAAATTTATTTTAAAAATAAAATTCTAATACTTTTCAGAACTGGAAGGTATGGATCATTACTGGAATGGTTTTGTATATTTAAAATGCTTTTTTACTTTCCTTACTAATAATTTTGTGCTTTTTGAAATGTTTAAAATGTTAAGAGTTGAAAAAGGGGTACAAATTTTTTCTTTTTTTTCTTTACAATTTAATTAAAAATTTTCTTTAGAGAAATACATTTAAATCACATAAATCAAATTAATATTAATCATTTCTAAGCTTCATTTATTAATGAAAAGGTTTATGAACTTGTTTCTTGAATTTAAAAAATTGAGCACCATTTTCATCAGTTATTTTGATATTATAAAATGTCTGATATACAACATTTTCATTAGGGTTACTAACGGAGAATGAGACTGTAATAATGACCTTAAGCTGTAATTGAAATTTAACAAGATTGAAATAACTCTTAAACTTGATTGATTATATTCTCTTGCAAAACTGCAGAAAGCCAAAAATAAAAAATTTAGTATATTCAATCCTCTCTGAAATCTCATCCTATATGAGTAACCCTGTATGTTTGCGGGACTAATACTGCCTCTATTGACATTTAGTGGTAGAGAGCTGTGTGGACTTTGGGAAGGAGATTGCAACAATGACAATGAATGCGCTGGAACACTGAAATGCGGCAACAATAATTGTGTACAGTGAGTCTGAATTTTTCAAAATTCCTCAGTATTTATAATTCAGATGCTTATAATAAAACTATCAGGCACTGGGGTGAGGGTGGACTATGGGATGCTGAAGATGATTGCTGTGAACCCCCCTGTACTCCAGACCATCCTTGTGCTGAGGGGGAGGGACACTGTGAAATTGATGCAGATTGCCAGGTATAGTGTACTCCAGAACATCCTTGTGTTAAGGGGGAGGGACACTGTGAATTTGATACAAATTATCAGGTATAGTGTCTACAGAACATCCTAGTGGTGATGGGGAGGGACACCGCGAAGTTGATGCAAAACGTCTGGTACAGTCTGGTACTGCAGACCATCCTTGTGCGTAGGGATAGGGTCACTGTGAAGTTAATACAGATTGTCAGGTATTAGATTCAGAGATTAGTGGGGTGGGGTGGAGAGTGTGTGACACCAGTTCTTGTTAGATCACTAAAGTTAAGCACACTTGTCCACAGCCAGTAATTGGATTGATGTCCAGACTGGTGTTCATGGGTTCGATTCCCGTACTCCACACAAACCTGTGGTTCCAAAAACATCTGAAGCCGACATCTGGTTAAACAGTTTTGACCACCAGACCGATGTAGGAGGACAGAGGGGCGGCTGTCAACAACTCTCTCAGCAAAAGGGTGCCTGCTTTCTACTCAACAAGAAAGCAGCTTTAAGTGAATTGATCCAAGTGACTGATGATGAAGAGAGGAATAGTGGACAAGCAGGGAGAGTATATGGTTGCCAGCTATAGGTACCTGGGGGTATACAATCCGGGCTTACAGATGTTAGGGAGCAATAAGTGTGATGTTTCCTATCAGTATGGCAACCGGGCCTCATTCCAGTTTATCAGAAGGATTCCTGCACTCTATATGCTCAGACCTAAGAAGAATCTTAGGTATTTGGAATCTTGACAACCCTCTTTACAGTATGAATGAAGCATGAGCTGAAAACTTTAGAATGAAATATCCTTAATCCTGATCGCTTAATCTGAGTATTCAATGTACACACTTTTGATTTAATTCTTAATCCTCTTTTTTGGATATTCCTACTGTATAAAAGTTACGTTTGATAACAATTACAGATACAATGCTATATCAATAGAACTAATATCCGATTGAATTAAAGTCAGCTGTTCACAAGTCGGCTTTTAGAGCATTTAAGCAAATATAAATTTAATCATGTTAATATGAACCTATTAAAAAATATATTTTATCACATTTTAGGACTATCATCATTTTAAATGAGTCCTAACAAACATTAATCCAAAACTTACATTTATTTAAGCGATGTTTAGTTCAATTGACATGAAACAATAAACACTAGAAAAAAACGGTTTTTCAAAAGTGAAAGAGTTCATCTTAACATGATACACTAATTGGTTTAATTTGATACTTCTTTCTTGGATATCGAATGCGTATCAAAGTAATCTCGGGTTTAGTAAAACCAGGAGTTTAAGTATTAATCTTTGTGAAAATATCCCACCTTTTCTTGATATTTTATCCGCAGAATGACCAGCCTGCCATTTTTAAAGCCAATTTTTCATATGCGCTCATCTGGAATTATAAGTTTTTGAGCGATCAAAAAACCTAAATAATATAATATTAAAATCTTTATACAATAATGATCTACATACTTATGTTAAAAATATATCCTTCCTAGAATTTGCCAATCTAGAAAAAAGGTTAGAGTTTAAAATATTTAGATTTTTCTTTTGTTAAGTTTTTAATCAGTTTAAAATTAATGCATAATAAGGAATCTTTAGTCTTTGATTAAAATGCAGAGGATCTTTAATTTTTTTTAGAACATTAATACATAATCACACAAGGACTTACGTTGGTAACATCCAGGCTAGACTTCTCCTGTTAAATGATGCTTTTCTTGTTTAGTGGAGTCCTTGATCCTTTGTTAGTTGAGTCCTTGATCCTTGATAAGTTGAGTCCATGATCCTTGATTAGTAGAGTCCTTGATCCTTGATTAGTTGAATGCTTGATCCGTATATAGGTGGATCCCGAATCCTTTCTCAGTTGAGTCCTTGATCCTTCTTGTTTTACCGATCAGTCCTCATTATCACTTTAACCTGCACAGTTTTTAAAATGTTTAATTTTTGCCTTTTTCGGACTATGCTCAAATTTTAATGCTCAAATTTACTCTATTTTATCAATGTTTTTAAAAGTTATTTTTGACCTTTAAGGTTAGAAGAATATCCAAACTTATGCCGATTATCCTTGCATAATCACTCTGAAACATTAATACTTCAAATATTTAAGAATAAAATAAGTTTTTTTTTACTTCTAGTTTTAAAAGTTGTGAGTGGTGAATCACAAAAAGTTTCTTCAAAGTTCCAAGAGCTCATCAGTGTCTGGTTTTTCTATCACATGTTTCTGTTCACTTCACCTTAACATGGGGTTTATTATTTTTACAATCTTGATATCCATCATTCTAAAGTTTTCAACAATGGACAGATGAATGTGCTGCCAGATTACAACCCCTTGCAGATCAATACAAATACCCCTACAACACCAAACTTGTGCAATGGAAAAATTCCGAGATTTGATCATATCAACAAGATCATGTCCTGGGGACAAAAAAATCTTCTTAAAAAAGATTGTCATGTATAGTGTCTCCAGAACATCCTTGTGCTGAGGGTTAGGGTCATTTTTAAGGTGATGCAGAATTTTTAAGGTGATGTCAGGTAGTGGAATCTCCATAGATAAATAAATAAACATAGATAGCTTATGTACGCAAAATCACCAAGAATTGTACAGTCCGCGAACTCATACTTCTAGGGGTCAAAGTGAACTTTAATGATAAGCGGGGTGGTTTGGTGTTTTAATGGAGTGGATAAAGAAGTATAATGGAGTGTAAAATAACTCTGGGAATGGAACTATTTGAACAAAAATATTTCACTGAGCAATATATCATATTGACGAGAACTAACTTAAATTTCTCTCTACAGAACTCATGTACACCACAAGTACTCAATGACATAAGAACAGCCAATGTTCACAACCGACCTAGTTAATCTATATTATAGGAATATCTTTAAAATATCTCTGTACATTTATATGAAAAATGTCGTCTGATGCGCAATCTATCTTTATCTATGGGAATCTCCCATTAACTATTATTGTGAAATAATGTTTATGAATTTAAACTTTCATATTTTTGAAATTTCTGATGCAAAATTTAAACCTTCTAAATCATTAGTTTAAAAAAACTATTGAAAAAATGTATTTTGCATTATTTATACTAATCAATTACAGAACCCTGGTTTGCTAAAATGTGGAAATGACTTATGTATTCACAGCACTTACTTTCCAAGGTATCTTGATAAAATCAATTTATTGATTTATCAAAAGAACTTTTTTCAAGCCTACTTTTAAAGAATTGCATGCTTTAATCACAATGGAAACCTTTAGACCTGATTATTATGTAGTCATCTGTTCCCTGAGCATTCTCTAACCTTCTACCAAGCAACTGATAACTGCTGCTATAGGGTGTGCAACAAGGTAACAAGTTTGGTCCAATCTAATTCACAAATTATGGGAATCGTAAACACGAATGATATATACTTTGGAGAAAAAAACTCAGCGGGAGCGGTTGAACCAGCGGTTGAGATCTAGCCTAGACTCTACGCAGTTCAGAATAAGAAATTAAGAAGAAATTTACAATTTGCTCACTAAATCGCACTTTTTCAACAAATGAAATCTAATTTTTCATCAATAACGTTTTCAGCTTTTTAGCAACTTTTTTCCTTTCAACCGCTGGTTTTCAGATTTTTCAGCAACTTTTTGCTCTCAACCACTGTTTTAAAGATTTTTCAGCAACTTTTTTGCTTTCAACTGTTTTCAGATTTTTCAGCAACTTTTTTGATTTCAACCGCTGTTTTNTTGCTGAAAAATCTTAAAACCAGCGGTTAAAAGAAAAAAGGTGCTGAAAATTCTTGGAACCGGTTTTTAAAAGAAAACGTTTTTCATTAAAAACTGTTTTCTAGCGTGTTAAAGCATCCCAGAGGTTTAAAGAAAAAAGTTTCTGAAAAATCCTGAACCTAGCGGTTGAAAGCAAAAAAGTTGCCGAAAAATTTTAAAACCAGTGGTGGAAAGAGAACGTCTTTCATGAAAAATTATTTTCCATGGTGGATAAAAGGAACCCTGTGCAAGTAGTTAAAAGGAAAAAAGTTGCTGAAAAATCTTGAGCCCAGCGGTTGAAAGCAAAAAAGTGTGTTTAACTACTAAAAAAGTTTTAAAAAGTGAATAAAAATATGAATGAAAAAAGCAGGAATTTATTGATTGAACAAATTTTAAATTTGAGAAATAAAGGCGCATTTCTTATTCTGAACTGCGTAGAGTCTAGGCTAGATCTCAACCGCTGGTTCAACCGCTCCCGCTGAGTTTTTTTCTCCAAAGTATATATCATTCCGTAAACACTATGTAATTTCCTTTCCTCTCTGGTGAATAATATTTGATTTTAATCTGCTGAAAACTTCCACCTTTACAATGCTTGACAATATTTACACCCTTCTGTTTCTTGATATCTGTTAATAAATCATTGGCAAAATATGTTTAACAGTGATTCATATCAGTTTTTTTTTAAATCTGTGATTGTTTACTTTCAAACCCATTTTCATTACGGCTTTTTTTGTATTTTTTTGTTTAATATTGTGGATATTTTAATCAATAAGGAAAACACAATTTGACAAGTTACAAATATGAAATTAAAACATTTGTTTCAGCGGTACAGAGTGTGTGGACACAATGAAGTTGGTTGTTTAAATGATGATGACTGTGCAACTGGGTTGTACTGCAAGTATATATTTTATCTGTTATCTTAATTAACATTAGTGTTGTCATGCCAGTTAGGAGAAAAAAATTCAATTTTGATATGCAAAAGTAGTTCTGCAACAGTAGAGAAATTGAATGTTGCTATATTGCAAGATGTTTTTTCTTTATATTACCCAAATTGGTCCTGCCATTACGATTTCTTGTTCTGGCATTTTTAATTTGTACAGATTAGTTAGCCAGCTACAGAGCAGGTGTTGCACTATTATTGTGTAATTGCGAATTTGAAACCCTAGCCAACGTTTCATATTTTCTCTAATTTTTATGTATTAATGCCAGTCATTGTAAAGATTTAATACTGTAGAATTGACATATACTTTTCATTTCGTTTTCATAAATCTCACATATATGAAGATTTCAAAAACTCTAATAAAAGTGAACTAATGTGGTTAAAATATTGTTTCTAAAACTAGGAAAGATGTAGTTCAGCCATACTGTGAAGATGTAAATGAATGTGATCCAAATAATCCAAAGAACCATTTGTATCCAGGACTAGCATACTGTGGGTAAATCTTAACATAATTTTTTTCTTTGTTTTACCATTTATATTTTGTCCCTTATTGATATTTGAATTTGTATTGCTCAATTTTCAACAAAGATTATTTGTTAGTTTAAAAATATTTCAATTATGTCATAATGATATCTACTCATTTATTATGCCCAATTAGGACATGACTATTCTTTTTATGTACTAATCTATCTATAGGATACACTCTACCTGCACCAATACTATTGGGAGTTTCAGCTGTTCATGTCAAACCGGTTTTAAAGATTGGCTGCCAGTTGCTGGCTGTATAGACATTGCCCGAGTAGAATCTTAGAGTCGGGAACCTAGTCTTAGGCGCCGGGCCGACTTTCTCCGACCCTCTGTTTTTGGAAAAAAATATCAAATTTCAACAAATATATGTAATATGAGCAAAAACCATTAAAATATTTGAGCATTCCTCTCCCCATCCCTTTCTTCAAGCACCCCTCCATATGTCCCAACCCCAGTTTCTGCTGT